TTCTGTTGCTAACAGAATTTCTTCACGTCGGGAACGAAACAATCATCAAACCAGGAGAGGGACAGAGCAGAGAACATCCACGCCTTACATGCGGTCAGCCAGTGGACATTTAGATTGGTGGTGTCCACGTTCTTGTAGGCGTGTGGCTTGCGGGCTGTGTGGATCACCGATATCTTGAGTTTACAGGAACCGGAGGCATTGGTGGTAAACAGGACGGTGATGTGCTCCTTCTGCAACTTCCGGCCCCGACACTTGCTGGTAGACTGGACAACGAAGGTCCTGGAAGGTAGCTTTTCCAAAACAGACCGGATTAGTCCATGTTGATCACCTGGTCATCGGTGTACTGTCCTTCGTCCATAATCTCACGTAAGAACCGAGGAAAATCCCTAGCCACAACACGGTCAGCACTTGCTTCTTCACCACCAATGTTAGTGTTGGTGATCTTGTTCCTCTTCTTAAACCTTTGCAGCCACCCAGAGGAAGCATTGAAGGGTTTGTGCTCTGCAATTCCCATCTTATGTGACTGCTGCGTACAGTTCACGTGCGTACTCCTGAACTGACCGCGTGTCGACCGCCATGTTCCATCTTGCCTGACGAATCAAGTAACACACAAGTAAATTTTCTGTCTTGAGAAGCACCTTGTTCTGGCAATACTTGATTATTGAAGCACCTGTCGACTTTGTGATGTTCATGTGTTCTTTTATCTTGTCTTCATCCTTCTTGATTGTCCGGATCGTAGATTCGTTCACACCATGCTGGCGCGCCAAATCAACCTGTGTTGTTCCTTTTTCCAACTCTTGAATAATCTTGTACTTCACATCGTAGCTTACGGCACGTCGTATCTTCTTTGGCTTAGGGCGGCTGCGTCCAGGTAATGCAAGGTTTTTCTGTGGGGGTGGTGGTCCGGTGGCAGCCATTCTTACGGAAGAATAGATACCTGTATACACGGTGTGGCTGCGAGGGATGTAACTGACGCGGCTACGTGAAGCACCTTTTACCCGCCAGCGGGAATGTACGTCATATTACATTAAACCAATCACAGCTAGCGGCGGAGGGAGTTAAGGATAATTGGCCCAATCACAGTCCGATACGTCTTATGACGTCAGCGATAACGCAATAGAGGCATCCACTGTGCAGCCTACTCGAGCTGCGTGCCCAACAAGGCGGGAGGTTTGAATCCAAAAATGGCGGCGAGGCAGGACCGCCAGCCGCTCTCTGCGTATATGAGTAGATGCACCGTGTAAAGTGTAAAGTGGGCATTCCGGTTCTGGCGGGGTACCGCGTAAATGTGGAAACTTGTAAACGGGAACCGCGTAAACCGAGGTATTACTGTACTACACTACAGCTGCTCGACTTACGATGGGGTTAGGGACCCAAATCCAGGTTATAAGTCGAATTGGTCGTAAGTCGAAAATGCGAAAATTATACAGTGGTCCCTCAATTAACAAACACAATTCGTTCTAACTCACAGAAAAAGTACATACAAAGTAATGCAAAAAAATGCATAAAGTCAGAAACACTCCTAAAAATTCCCAAAATTGGCCTTAAATCACTATACAGTCAGTTCTGCTACAATGGAATAGTTGTGTTCTTGTAAAACCTCGCTTTCTAGAAATTCGCGCTATAGAAATGACAGGGCTTATGGAGAAAATAGGGTTAGATGCAGATTACTCGAAATCGAAAAAAAATTAGTAGTTAGCCTAACACAAAGGATAGCATAGTCTAAATAAATGCTACATTCATATCTAATAATGAAATCATACAGTGAATGTAACACTTTACCTTGAAAAAAATATGAATATAACTTGATGGGGGAGAAGGTTGATTTTGAGATTAAGGAGTCATGCAGACAGGAGTTGAGTGTGTTCATCGTTATCATCAGTATCATCATCATCAGGTGCGGTTTTGGTTGCATGGTTGGGACGAAAAAAACGTTTAATTCCAGAAGTGGATGGCTGTGGTTCAGTGTCTTCAGACTGCTTCTTTGGGGTTGACTTAAAAAAGACGTCTAATGTTTGCTGTATTGCCGCCTTTCTTCTTTCACAAAGAAGCTGTTCATAAGGTGCCAAAAAAGATTTAACACTACGAACTACAATCCTGCTCTGATCTGCAACTGCTTATCAACTTCCCTCAGGATAAAAGACAAAAGAGAAGTGGGAAGCTCTCGTGGTTTTGCATCCTGGACTTCATCATCTTCGGCATCTTCAATTTCACCAGTAGCAACAAGTTGTTGTAGATCAGCTGTAGAAAGGTCTTCATAATGGGACTCAAGCACTTCCTCAAGATCAGCACTTTCCACTTCACCAAAGCCAACTTGCTTTGCAAGAGAAACACAATTTTCTTTTATTTTGGGGAGCTCCTCTGATGCATCAAAGCCTTTAAAATCATGAATGAAATCTGCAAAACATTATTTGTATTTATTTTTTTCATACAGTATTTATGGGAACAGCTAAATTTGCAAAAAAATTACAGAAGTCCAAAAATCCGGATGCCAGAAATCCGGACCACCTGAGAATCCAGACTTTTTGAAAACTCAAACTTTCTAAATTTAGCGGGCTTTTGTGTGTGTGCGCGCATGCATGAGCGCCACAGCTGCAGAGCAACAACAAGCGACCACACGGTCGCCATTTTAAAACGAGCAATCAAACTGTGACAATGTATGTAATATTGTGTCCTATCTCTTTCCATTTACCATATACTATAGCATACGTATTTACAAGCCCATAGTAATAGCTCCTAAAATAGATGAACTTCGTTGTGTGAAGAGAAAGAAGAACACGTTGAAATTGAGTGACAAACTTGAAATAATTAAGAAACTAGAATGTGGTGTGAGCAATACTGATCTAATGGAAACATATGACATTGGAAAGTCTACAATTTACGATATAAAAAAGGCAAAGAATAAAATTTCAGAATTCACAGCCTCGTCTCAGTATTTGCTAATAATTAGACTATCAAAATTTACCTGTTCATCTCTTCTTTATTCCTCCTTAAATTTGAATTTTAAAAGTACTGCCCGAGAATCAGGAAAATCCGAAAATCCGAAACCGACCCAATCCTCGAGCAATCCGAATTTTTGGACTTCTACTGGATGAAACTTATAGAGTTCCTATCAAATAACACTTCACAAACAAAACACATGAATCAATTGAACATGTGATGTCGAATGTGAACTGTAAACACTGCATAACCCTGGGCCAAGCGACAGTACACTTAAAATGTTCGAGTGGAATCGCGTTACAGCCAACACGTGTTCGTGTTTTACAAATATCGTTTTTCTATTCATCAATCGCGTTATACCCAATTCGCGTTGACAAAACACGCGTTGTAGCAGAAATGACTGTATATATATATACACGTCGTACATGTACACTAGACTCTTAAATCACTACAGGTGATTAATTTTTATCTCTTGTGCAAAATATATGACGTTTATATTCAAATTATTCACTGTCTTGCAAGGATTTCAGCAATGCAAATTATATTCTCCTAACTTTAGTCTGTGATATTATATAAGATAAAACTGTAAGCCTAAAACCCTGGCTGGGCAGATGGGGGGGAGGTGAGGTGATATGTTTGACAGTTGGCACCGAAGGTCTGTGTATTTATTTATCAGTCCTTAAGTGACTAAGCTTCTCTTATAAAATGCCAGTGAATTGACCTAGGAGAATATAATTTACATTGCTGGGATTCTTGTAAGATAGTGATTAATTTGAATATAAACAAGCTATAATTTGCACTAGACAAAAATTTTAGTACCCTAATCATTTAGTAAATGTACAGTACAAGTTTGCACGTAGGTCATTTATTTCTTTTACGTCTCTTTTAGTTTGGTGTTTGCGTGTAAATGAATAAAAATAAATGAAGAAATTTAAGTTAATCTACCCAAAAATACAGTTGAATTTTTTGTACATTATTAAATACTAATGTACTAAAGCTTTTATCTCTTGTGTAAATTATATTCTCCTAACTTTAGTCTGTGATATTATACGGTATAAGATAAAACTTAAAGCCTACTGTATACCCACCAAGCCCTTGCTGGGAGGGGATGGGGGGGAAGGGAGGGAGGGGGTGACAATGACATGTTTGACAGTTAGCGCCGAAGGTCTAGTGAAGTATTTATTTGTTTATTTATGTCCTTTAGATTAATTTTTTCTTTTGCTTATAAAATGTCATAGAAGTGACTGGGGAAAATATAATTTACATTGCTGGAATTCTTATAAGATAGTGATTAATTTGAATATAAACGTCATATATTTTACGCAAGAGATAAAAATTTGAGTACATATTACGTTTTAATAGTGTAAAAATTTTTCAACTGTATCTTTGGGTAGATTTACATAAATTTCTGGGTGTCTCTTTTTCTTCTCCTCAGCACCGAGAACTCTCACTTTTACGCTTGCCAGCCATTTTAAAGGGAATTACAAACAAAAATTTTGTCAGTACACCGCGCAATCACTAACGTTGGGACTCGAAAATACATAATTAATTTTTTTTTTGTACGACTGGAGTGGTCGTATGTCCAGGTGGTCGTAGGTCGAGTATGTCATAAGTCGAGGAGTAGCTGTCCAGGACTAAAATTTTTATCTCTTGTGTAAAATATATGTTGTCTATATTCAAATTATTCGCTGTCTTGCAAGGATTGCAGCAATGCGTCACTCTGGGTATGTCGTGAACACGAGCGATGCTCCACGAAAAAACTTTCGGTTTTCATAGCTTTTCGGATTTCGGAATTGTGGATAAGGGATTGTGGACCTGTAATGTATAGTATTTTAACCTTGGAGATCCATTTTATATTTTAATGCTTATTAATCCAGTTACCATGATGCTGAGCTGTAACTATAAACAAAGTGTAACAATCTGCAATCCTGCCTCTAGTTTTATTGATGTTGTAGCAGAATTTTCTGCAATTTTCTTGTTACAGTATTCACTAATATAATTCTGAAGTTTAATATAGTATAGATATGTCTTATCTAAATTTAATGTGCCTAAAATTCCAGACAGTCAAGTGTTTGCTGAGGAAGTAGAACCCACAGGTGCAGTACCTATGGAGCTGTCCTTAGAACGTTACCGCTATGCAGCTCTTCCCAACAAATTCAAGGATAATTCAACCAATGAAGATAAACGGCTTCAACCTCGTGTTTCACTCAAACTTTTTGCAGGATCACAGATTCTTATCAATGTAAGTCTGTTTACACACACACACATACATATATGAATTCTCTTTATTTTCTTAACATACTTACATAGTGATATCCCCATTAGCTGCAACAATTGGTGCATAGGTTTTCTGGTGATGTGAGATTTCTGGGTAATGAGACAACACTCTCAGACACGGAAGAATCCCACATCCCCGGAATTTTTCTGGGTATAGGGGTGCGTCGTTTAGCGATCGTAATGCGTTCCTGAAAAGCTTATCGCTAAGCAAACAGAAACAAGAAATGATATCTTAAGCAAGAAATAATGAGGATTAATATCTGTGGAGATGGCCGACTCTCACCTAGTAGCACTCAGAGCAGGTGAGGCTGAATTGTGAGATATGTTATTTTTCAATTCGTAATTTCAGGTAGATATACATAATTTTTTTTCATTTTCTTGTACAGGTGTACCTAAATAACCAACGCGTACAAGGACCGGGAAAAGTCTTTGGTTAGTGAATCAGCGGTTATCGAAGCAATTAATCCCATAAAAACATAACAGTTTTGGGGGGGGTTAGGGACCAGCCACCCTCCAAAAACTCCCATCTACCCTTGATACAGGGTATATCTTTGTCGTACACACTGTCAAGCAAGAAAATAAAACAGACTTATAAAGCAAGCATTTATAAGCCTTACATAAGCAATGTACAGCATAAATTGAGAATGCTATTTACCTGCGTAGAGAATGGTAGAGACGGTCTAGGGTGGCAAGTTCAAGTCTTAGCCACTCTTTGCTGGTCCATCATCATTCTTATTATGCCTTATTATGCTTTATCACATCACATCAAGCTGTCCAGCACAACAGAAACTATCACTGTGGTGTTTAGGCATGACTGAGTAAAACACTAAGTCAGAAATAGCAAAAAAACATGATCAGAGACACATTACATAGTTAGTGTAAATAAGAGCAAAGATGGCAGGAATGAATCAGGACAGTGCGCAGAGTCCTGTTGTGGTAAGAATTCACACCACCTCACTGCCCGCCAAATTCAAAACAGCTCTGCCGCTCCTCTCCTGATCGTCGGAGCTCTGGGTTATTCAACGAAACTCTTGGGGTAACGCAGTCATAATAAGTTGTTCCACACACCAACCTCCCATAAGGTAATGTACCAAAGTTAAGCAGTATTTTATTATTTTTTCATGTATTCAGTAGTTATTTCATGTTTTAGGCAGTAAGTATGCAGATTATGGGAGAGGCAGAGAGTGCAGGTGGTGGGAGTATACTATGGTGTAATAGTTCATCTGGGATTGAGTGTGGAATTTGGGGGGGGGTGGGGAAATTAATTATTTTTCAGTATCATAAAATACAATTGCACATATTTTATGGGCAAAAAATAGCTGCTTCCACACTTAAGCATTCCTCTGAGTGATGCAACACAGTCACCCTGCTGACTCACAGATTTGTGGCTGCCGCTTTGGTGGCTGTGTGTCACGTCAGAGGGAGCTCAGCCACACATAGCCCAGTAACCCACTGCCACATAACACATTTACTTCCCACATATGCTCTTCATTTTTCTTATTTTATATTTTTATATTATATTTTTCATATTTCTAAGCCATATTAAAGTACAGTATTGTAATGATTTTTTTTACATCTTTTGTAGTTTCATTACAAGTAACAATAAATGCAGTAGCTGGGCTGACGAGTCGGAGATGTAGTTATAGCCTATCACATACACACATGTTCAATTCTCACACATGTACAGTAGTGTCGGATATATAGCGACTTTATATAAAAAACAATTATATCGCAGCTTCCAAAATTAAAGATATTTTCCTATACTTGTACGTATATAGCGATAATTTTTTTTTATTTTGCGAGGGAAATTGGGCAGGAAATATTTCAAATTTATCACGACTATCAAAATTATCAAAATTTTCCATTATACAGTAAAGCCTCCGATAACAACGGTTCGACCAACAACTTTTCATATTTAAAACCCTAGTTAATTTAGGACTCCATTCAATTTACGTCCTTATTTCATTCGTATTTACGACCAAAATATAATAAGAATATAATAAAATTACATTTTCATACCTGTACCAGTAAATAATAACTTAATCCCTATATGAATTATAAAAGAAAAAAATTACTGTAAAAAAAATGAAGAGCGCCTTGCACAAAGAAGCTGCCTTGCTAATTTTTGGTAAACAACAGTCGGAGCTTGGCAGGCCTTTTGTTTCCACACATATGGAACAGGAACTGGAGAAAAGCTTTCTAAGGTTTCTTACAGCATTTTTGCATCCCTATTCAACATGAGCAAGAGAGCAAGTGATGGTAGCGTTGTTTCAAACGCTAATAGAAAATGTCTAAGCTTAGCCGAGAAACTAGATGTGTTAAAACGATATGAAAAGGGAGAGAGGTCTGTGGATATTATATGGAGAAAGCAATGAACATATTTTCTGAAGTGGATCCATTAACAGAACAAAGCATTAAAATTTAAATAAATGCAAATGACCTCTACATAAAGATGTATAATAAGAAAAGAAAGCAGCTGTGCAAGGTTCTTTCGACAGATTTATTATTCGAAGGCCTAAACCATTAACTTCAGCTACACCATCAAATTCAGCATCAAAGCAGCTTCAACATCAACTTCAGTTTCAGTAACAGTTTCAGCAACAGCTTTATGGAAAGCTACAGCTTCAGCCAGAGTTGAACCTACAGCTTCAGCCAGAGTTGAACCTGATGACTTCGTCATCTGAGTAAAAACTTGCACAATTTTCATTGGCTGTCCTTATGTTTTCGACTTTACCACCATTGGTGAATAGAATTTTAGTTTTACATTCGCAAATATTGTTTAAAACATATATGAACAGAAAATAAGTGTTGCTTCCATATTCATATGTAGAGAAATGACGATATGTTTTCACATGTACACACTTACTGTTCATATGTTGGCATTCCCAATCATCTCATTGTATTTCTTTACCATTAGTGGTTAGCTACTCCAAGTGTTCCATTTATTAACATTAAATAGCATTACTTAAAACGTACGTAGATGTATTAAATTTTTTTAAATTAAGTTCACTACAGCTACAACCAGGGTCTTACCTTTTTCAGTTTCTTATGTAGAACCATCGTCACTCGCGAAAACAATGCCGTCTTGTCTCCTCGTGTGTGTTTTAATATTCTACGTATTATTAATGAATTGCATTGTTCATTTCACATATATAAACATTAATTCAATCAAATACATATTCAGTAATAAACAATAATGAATCTTTTGTACATATTCTTAACATAAATGATTATGTTTCCTTGAGTGTGCACGTATGCATTGGGTGTAAACACTGACAACAATGTCATCTCTTATCCTCTTGTGTTTTAATATTCTGCGTATTAATGAATTGTATTGTTCATTTCGCATATACAGTGGTCCCTCTGTTAACGAACAATTCGTTCCACAGAGTGGTTTGTTTACCCAAAATTTCGTTAACCGAGTCCATTGTTTCAATGGGATATTGGGTAATTGGTTCCACCTCACAGAAAAGTACATACAAAGTATAAACAAAATGCAGTAAGTACACTTACTTTGAGGTGTGTATGTAGAATGTTGCTGGTTGATGATGATGATGGGAATTAGAAGTGGGGGGAGGAGGAGGAGAAGGGAGAAGAGAAGGAAGTGCTTTGGTGGGTGAGTCAAGCGGTTGATGGGCGCACAAAAAACTAGTTCCCTGTACTGCATATATTATCAATATGTTAACTAAATTTTAAAATGACTAACAATTTTAATATAAAAATGCAAAAATATTAAAGAGCACAACTTTCTTGATATTTACTCCACTGGAAACGAATGTAAACATAAATCAGATTACTGAATTGGCAGACTAGTCGATCAGCTGATGCTCACAACAAAACGTGTTTGTCGTAAGGATTTCGTTAATCGAAGTTTTGTTCATTAACCGATTTCAAAATTCTTATGGGAGCTAATTCGTTAACCGAAATTTTGTTAATCGAACCGTTCGTTAACCGAGGGACCACTGTATATAAACATTAATTCAATCAAACACATATTCAGTAATAAACAATAATGAATCTTTTGTACATGTTCTTAAGATAAATGCCTTGAGTGCGCACTTATGCCTTGGGTGTAAACACTGACAACAATGTCGTCTCTTATCTTCTTGTGTGTTTTAATATTCTATGGATTAATGAACTGTATTGTTCATTTCGCATATATAAAGATTAATTTAATCAAATACATATTCAGTAATAAACAATAATGAATCTTTTGTACATGTTCTTAAGATAAATGACGCGGTATCCTTAAATGCACACGTATATGTTGGCGTACCCAATCCATCTCTATTTTTTTTCTTTGCCATTAGTGGTTAGACAAGTGATCGCGGGCACGTTCGTGCCCTTGTTAGAGTTTGAACGCTCGTGAAAGCGTACAGCGAATGAGGGTGTGCTAAGTCCGTAGACTTGCATGGTTAATTAGGGTGCGCCAAGTCCGTAGACTTGCATCGTTTCCCATCGTAAATAAAATTGTTAACTAATGCCTTCCTAAAGAAACCATCGACATGGGACCAGGTTTGTTCTACTCTGTGAATTTTTTGTGATTTTTCCACCAAGTTTGATGAAAAACGATTGTGCCGTTTCGGCTGCCCAGAACAGACACACACACAAACAGACACACGCCTAGTTCTATAGTATATTAGATACTTCGATTTTTCCATTTATTAACATTAAATAATGTTACTTAAAACATATAAATTAATTTTTTTACATTAAATTTACTACAGCTACAACCAGGGTCTTATTTTCTTCATTTTCTCGTGTAAAATTATCGTCCCGGACTCCCGGCCGTAAACCTAAACGAAAACAATGGCTTCCCATCTCCTCTTGTGTGACCATATTATTATTCATTTATATTGTATAAGGTGCATTCAGACACATTATTTAAAGAATATAGTTTGTAATTTTCGTTAACTGTATTGTTTTGGGGGGAAAAGAGGGTAAAAACCCACACAAAAGATATAA